CTGTCACAGGTTCGATTCCTACTGAGGGAAAGACTTATTTGTTTTTAAATACTGCTTAAGCAAACGAGCTCGTAGCACGAGCTGCATTTGCTGTTGGTAGAAGAGGGTTCAGGGTATCTCCAAGTCAGGAAATCCTTACTAGAACCTCTAACTTTTTTTTTTTTTCCTTTAGAATATTATAATATAATATGCACAAATATTATAAAACTCAACTTTTTTGGATATTGATAAGAAAAAAAACACAATTAACAAATTTATTTAAAATCATTAATTTTCAACCAAAGAATTTTATTTTTGTTCCTTATATTTTACGATTTTAACTTTAAAACTTAGGGAAAACTTGTTTTAATTGCCTAACTTCTGAATTTACATATTTGCATTAAATAGGCGTCGTTTAAGATATTAATATTTAAAATCGACAAAGAGAGGGCAAAATGACATTTTATAGCTGAATAGATTTTTATTGTTATATGTTGATGTTTGCTTTAAGGAATGGTATACAAAAGTTCCAAGTTTGTCGCTTTTATTTTGATTTAATAGTTACATACAAATATTTTAGGGCTGTAGATCACTCCAAGCTTGATGTGCAAGCTGAGCAATATTATGTCATCCACGTTCACCAGACACGCACTAAATATTATGATTTCTCAAGGTATGCACTTCTCGCTTTGGTCAGTGTTTCCTTGAGTAATGATTTTAAGTGCTTGATTTGAAGACAATTACCTCTGTATTTGCAGGCTTAGGAGCAATTTTAAGGGAAACTGAAACCCCCGAGCAGGTAATTGCGCATAAATACATTACACAATTCCTCCAATCCCAATATTTTCAAATGCACAAAAGTAACAGCTAGAACTGCCAGTTATATACCGATACTCTAAATCGGGCAGAGAGCATTACAATATCATCTCCTTTACATGTGATTAAAATACGATTACGTGCGTCGAGCAGAAAACTTTCGCAGGTAATACTCCCTATTTTGGGCTCAGTAAGTGTACTGGTTTACAAATAAGCAAAACGCTAAGTGATACATGTAGCTTTCAATAACAGATATTTATCCAAATATCCCTATCTGGGATGTACAGCTGTGAATAAAATAATAGCACCACCACTACAAGTAATTTTTAAATAGTTGCCCAACTCACATATTTAACGTTAAGGAAACTTTAAGCACGTAGGTGCCGATAAAGACATCGACCGTATTTATAAGTACATGGGCATGTGATATAATCGAGGGGGGATAATTTATAAATTGAGTAAAGAGTAAAGGTCCAAAATAATTACATTGAGGAACACCAGAAGTAACGTGAACCTGCTTCGAGGTAGTCAGCCACAGCATGACTCTTAGGGACATACCTTTAAAATAAGAAGAAATCAAAGCAAAAGCGACGGAGGGAAATATCATGGTGCACAGAGTCAAATGCTTACTGAAGTCTGTGTAAATGACATCAGTTTGCATTTTAGAAGAAAAGCATAATTTACCAAGGAAGATAATTTTTCAAGCAGATTGGTCGTAGTTGACCGATTCTTTACGACTTCATGTTAAACAGGTGATTATTTTTTTAATTTAGATAATAATTTAGAGATTCTGGAAAGTTTTGCAATGCCCCTGCAATTTTTTATATCAGACTTTCCACCTTTCTTGTGGAGAAGAATGATATAAGATTCTTTCCAAAAAGATCGAAAGACAGAAGATAAATAGATTAAAAAGCTTTAGCAATGGACAAAGAATGAAAGAACTACACTTCTTGAGTAGACTACTAGGCAAATTGTCAGGACCAGGAGAGTAAGATGATTTTAAAGAATTTATAGCAAAAAGGAGAGAGAAATGGGAAATAATAGGAGCAGGTATAGAAACGGATGAAGTAATATTGTAATGGTAAGAATTATTATCAGGGCAGACAAAGTAATTTGATTGGAAAAAGTTAGCAAAGAAGTTAGCAGAATCGGAATCATTGCTAGCTTTGTTTACAAAATTATGAAACTGTCTCGGATTTTGGGCAAATTGCCTTTGCAACGAAAAAGATAATTCTCATAGCACTGAGGGTTAGCAAGAAAGAAATTTGACTTGGTTATAGAATATTTAGCCAAGTCAATACTAGAACCAGACTTATCAAACTTTTTAAAATATTTAGACTTAATATTTTGTAGGTTTGATAGTCTGGGAGTGAACCTTGGTGGCTTTGAAGAAGCAATTGATGATAAAGTAGGATAATATACATCCTCAGGAACAAATAAAGGAGGGTACCTGGACACATTAGCAATAAGGTAATCGTTGACAAATACAAGATCAAGGTTTCTATTTAAATGATTAAAAATTGAATTTATTTGAAACAACGAAAGGTCGAGCATGCAATCTATAAAGTCATGCTTTGCTGAGGGTACTAGATAATAATGTGAATAATGACCAAGAGATGTTCGGTAAATTAAAACGCTATAAATAGGTCATTATCACGCACATGTGTAGAATCTTTTCAATACAAGTAATATGTTTTATATATACTTGAATATCAGAAGAAGGAGGAACATAGGAGCATGTGATATAAATATCGCGTGGTGGAAAAGTCACTTTAACTGAGACAATCTCAGCGTCGGTAGGCGTAATAAAACAGAAAGGTTCTGACTGGAAAGTGGATTTAACGGCAATTAATACCCCACCACCTCGAGTCGGCTGACCATTTCTATGAACAATGAAATTGTTCACAAAACTTCAAAATCTGATTTGGTTGAATTTAACCATGTTTCTGAAAATGCGATTATATCCAAATCGAAGGAAGAGCTAGCCATGAAAACATTTTAAAGCTTAGAAATGAGACCACTGACATTCTGATAAAGAATAGAAACTAGGTCGGAAGACGGAATTAGTTTTGGATTGGATTTTTTTGCTTAAACTCGTAAACAATAATGTAAGGAGGCAACAATTTACGATAACAAATGATTGGGAACGCAACACGTGAAACATTATTTTAAATTATGATATTTCACGAGGTGTGGAGAAAAAAAATTTAGTAATTGACACGCTAGCAGAAGACTTGCTAGCAATATAGGCAGCCGATGAATCACAAGTGGTCTCAGATGAAAGCCAGGACAGAAAAACTTGTTTACGAGGGGCAACAACAGCTAAAATAGGAGCTGATGGGGCTGAAGACAATACAGGAGTAGGCACCGTGATTGCCTTTAACAATCTGAACTAGATTGCGCGCAGGTTTACCTTTGCGGCCAGAGGCTGACGGTGCTGAAACACTTACGCTGACTGGGGAGGGTTCAGATACAGGGTCTACTGGTACTACTCCAGGGGTAATATTCTGACAATCGCTTGGAGAAGGCAATAATGACAGCATTGGGGATTAATCCAAATTGCTATGCACGGACAAGAGAGGCGCATCTATTTTGGACAAAAGCAGAGGGCAAATGCAAAATCTGAGATGCTAGTGTGGAGACTCGAATTTATATTTGCTAAGTAACTCTAAACTCCAGTCAAAGTTACTCCAGAACTGCTTAGCCACACTATTAAGTTTTGAGCATTGATTTCTCACAGAATTATACATTCTTTAGAAATCAATTTGCTTGTCGATAACTACTGGACACAACCAACACAAGCCGCTGCAGCCCTTCTTGGCAATTGCAGAAGTTGCGAGACCGCAGAGCGAAACGAAAAACGGTGCACAAAAATATAGCAAGTAAGCGCTAAAAAATTTTCGAACACAAAAAAAAATTATTGTTCGAAGCAAAAGGCAACAGCAAACAATTTTTGCACAAGAAGAAATATGCCAGGGAACACACGCACAAGCAAGTGTATGCACAGGGAAGCGCCAAAACAAAAGAATAAAAACAAATAATAACGATTACACGGAACTGACGCCAATCAATAAATGCAATAATTGATAAGCTTACGCTGCACATCAGATAGCACTTTTCACAAGTAATAAAAGCTGTTTAAATTAAACACAAGTGAAGCCAAATTAACAAACAGAAAGCAGGTTAGAAGCGCAAAAATAAATAAAAATTTTGGAGCACAAGTGTTGGTATATATAAGAGGGTTCAGGAAATCCGCTGGTCGGGAATAGAAAAGTGTGTAAGTGTGTGTGTTTGGCAGGCCTAAAAAGTTATCATGCACACATGCCAACGTTCGGGTAGCCTTACCAACAACAAGCTTGGAAAATAGGAGTTTTGCACATGAACAGGCCAACCCCTTTTACAATATCACACGACTGCTCCCTCGAAAGTGTTAGCGTGAACATAAGTAGCAAGTCGCAAAAATTGAACATTTTCAATTTTGGGCATTTTCTTAGAATTCTTCGACAAGCCGACGATGAAATACCCTTGCTGAAATACGACTTGGTTTTTTTTTATTTTAAGCAAAATAGGTCCTCACAGTAAACAAAAATATTAGAATATAAATATAAATGAAATATACATATTTCATTTGGGTCATTTAAGTTTTTTTTTAAATAAATAAAATCCAGATTCTTCTCATTATGCCTGAAATACAAGATAGGGCATTTGAGTGTGTGTGCCTTTTGCTACCACAGGCATAAAGGTCACACAATTGAAGAAAATATCTCTGGCTCGCGGCAGACGCCGTGCGAGCATCCACCCAATACAAACATATGTATGTTTGTAGATCTCGGGGTTTTTTGAGAAGCTATGCAGGGAGAAAAAGATGGACACAAGCGCGCAAAGTAATGAGTGAGAGCGAATCAAACCCTGCACATGCATACACACATATGTTTTTGGGCTTTAAGTATTTAAAACTAACATACATATATTAATAAAAAGCATCAGCCGCGCTGATGTACCGGAATATTTATGGTAGATCAATTCCCTACCCGATGCATCACTTAATATTACCAAATGATTCTGTAAATATTTTAAATTGATGACAATAAGAAAGAGAAAATTTAAATGAGAATTATTGTACTTGGTTGGTACATTACTCTTGTTGGCAACCATCAACCATACAGATGAAATTAAGCTAAAAAATGTTATCAATACCTACTTACCATGTTGTACATCAAGTCCTGCCCTTTCTAGCATGTACGGCAAGCCTAAAGAAATAGAATGACAAAAAATTTAAGTTTTCCATTTTGACTAACATAATAAATAGTGCTCTAAACGGGAGTGCCCGAATAAGACATACGCTGAAACTTTATACTACTACTTTCACTTAAGATTTAACCAAAGATACACATTTTACCTAGATAATAAATAGACAAGCATACATTATAAGCGGGATTGCGATATTATTTATGAAATTCGGTAAAAGCACACGCTCCAGATTGCTTGATATTTGCTCAAAAAGAGGATTTCAGAGGAAAAGGTATTTATGATTTTAAATAAACTCGATCAGCGTGGACACTACGTGGACCTATGCTCATATTTGAAGTCCTATCTCTTAAAAGTTATAAGATCGACTTTTTCTTAAATGCAAATGGACAGACGGTCAGGGGTGGATCATCTTGTGTTTAGATTCTGACTAAGAATATACATACTTTATTATATCAGAGATACTTCCTTTTGTCTATTATATTACATTTGCGAAAAACCATTATATCCTTTTGGCCCATTTTTAATGGGTTTAGTGTATAACAAGTAAAGGTCGTATACAGTACTACTACTACGTAAGCTGCATACGAAATAAAATATATAACGGTAGTTATATAGTAAATACATATGCATATTTGACGTACGTTTGCAGTAAGTTTGTAAGAATTTTTCACTGTTAAAATAAAATAAAATCTATATTAGCTCATTATACTATAACTAAGGGTTACTCGTTTCCTTGGCGTTGGTAGATTTTTTAAATGTTGTTTAAATTCTAGGTATAACTTTTTCACCCAGATCCCGCCTGTCACATATGTATGTACATATGAATAGATATTTGAAAATAAATGTAAAATTTGACAATATATGCGGCTGGTATTTCCCAAAACCCCAGTCTACGCACCTCTATTTAATACGGTACCTACAGTGAATCTTTCAGCATCCTAGTTCTAACATTCTAGGCTGTGCGTTGATCAGTTAGTCATTTAGTCAGAACAAACTGTTTTATATGTAGTGAGAGACGCCATATATCAAATTTGGTGACATAAAAATATCATTCCGATATCGACTTCATGAAAATGGGGCATGTTATCGATGATTAGGAAGGCCTACGAGCTCGTCTGCTTAACGGTAATAAAAATAAATTTAAAAACAAGTAAGAGGTTCTAGTCGGGAGATCCCGACTAGGGGATACCCTGAACCCTCTTATTTCAACACCAAATGCAGCTCGCGCTACGTGTTCGTTTTCTTTAACAGTAATAAAGATAAATAAAAAACACGTAAGAGGTTCTAGTCGGGAGCTCCCGACTAAAGGATACCCTGAACCCTCTTCTTCCAACACCAAATGCAGCTCGCGCTACGCGCTCGTTTGCTTTGGTAATAAAGATAAATAAAAAAAAAACGTTTCCTTGGCAGGATTCGAACTCGCAACTAACCGCACTACTTGCCGCCGCCTCTACTCAACGGCCACACCAGCCAAAAAAAAAAAAAATTCCCTCGGTAGGTCTCAAACTCGCAGGAGACCGCCGCCTCTACCAAACAGGCATACCAATTATTGAGTCTTAATGAGAAAAAAACAAATTAAAAAAGGAGCACAGAAAACAATACAATCGCAATTGCAATGCTGTTGATAAAATTCAAAGCAGACGCACAAGAAAGTGTGTGTGTGTACATGTATACAGATATTCTTGCAATTTGCGCTAGCTGCCGCAAACACGTGGGCAGCCGAAACGCATTTTCTTTTGTGTTTCTTACCCGATCTTGATGTAATTTTCATCAGTAGATCTTATTGTAGTTTAAAATATTCGTGTATTCTCACAATTGCATTTAAATTGTGGCTTATATTGGTGGGCAACATATGTACTTGATTTATAGCTTTATGGTGGCAGCGGGGAGGTGGTGATTGGTATAAAATGAAAGATACTGATACATATATACTATTCCACATGCAACATATGACTCTAGCTCATATTGTTTACCAAAATTGCTCAAAAACAGGGTTTCTATATCGATTTTTATCGATTACTTGGAAACGGGGCAAGTTTTTGAATATCGGAAACAAACTCGATCTGCGCATGGACTAGGAGGACCTACAGCTAAAATTTCTAGTCTCTAGACTTATAGTTTCTGTGATCCTTGCTTTCATACATACGGACGGACGGACAGACAGACGGACATGGCTGTTGATGCTGATCAAGAATATATATACTTTATGGGATCGGAGATGCTTCCTTCTGCCTGTTACATACATTTGCACAAATACATTACATTTATACCCATTTTCAATGGGTTCAGGGTATAAAAAATAGTTCCCTCAACCGGACTGGAAGTCGTAACATACAACACTATTGATTGATTGGAAACGGCGAAAGTATCGATTATAGTAACGGCGCAAGTTATCGATTATAGTAACGAACTCGTACTGCGCGGGCGTGGGTCCTCCCAGTGTCCGCGCAGTATTAAATCTCAAGCTTTTATAGGTTCTTAGGTCTGTCGTTCATACATACGGACGGACGGACAGTCGGGCAGTCGGACGTGGCTAGATCGACTCGGCACAAATACATTATACCCCTTTTACATATTATTAATGGGCTTAGGGTATAAAAATAAAACAACATAAAAAAACATATAAGTGGATTGCCGATTTAAAAACTATTGCGTTACGTTTTCAGTGTAAAAAACAGAATACTTTCAACATTTATACGGGTGTTCGGAAATTTGTACATAGAGTTATACCCTTATGAGTAATAGAAAACTAGAGGGCTTATCCGGTTAAGATTTCTATGGAGCTATGACAGTTTAGAACAGGTTAACGTGACAGTTGGTGGTCAAAATTCCATTTACCGAATCCGATACGAAATCACTTTTCAGAGTTTGCGGTTAATACTGCACCCGCAAGTCAGGCACAAAAATTTGAAAAAAAAAATTAATAGAAATGGATAATAAATATGCGAACACAGCTATGACCGTATCCAGGGAATACAGTAACTGACCTTGAGAAAAAACACGAAATATACGTTTCATTGCGTAACTACACACATACATACGGCTTATAAAATTTTTGAACATTTTGTAGGCAGGTCAAAACATTCCCAGGTACTCGGTATCATCAGAAACCAGAAATAAAACCAAAGGCGATGACGATATGGTGCAGTCTTCGTCTGACACACCATTAAATTTTGAAGCAATCATTAACTGACTCAACTTTACGTACGTCGGCCCATTTACCTAATTGAACAAGAACTTTCGACACCTCGTCAAGGAAACTTGAAAATAATACAGTATTACGAGCTCTGGCTTTAGCTCTAGTAATTGCGACCAACCACGAACGCTTTCAATTTGAGGAGAACGCTTAACGGAATGAGCAATGACAGTCAAAAAACGTAGTTAAAGACAATACTAGGTTAAAAGTATGCATATTAGTAAACAAAGGACAAAACTGTAATAATAGCCCGTCCCAAGACAATAACCACCCCAACCGATGGACATAGACAGCTCATCATGGTTTCAACAAACTATTCAACAGTCAAAACAAAATATCATTTTTTACGCACCATTTCCAAGCCAGGCCCAAACAAGGGCAAACGGTGGCGCTGCTAGGTACACAGGGCCAAAACAACAAAGGGTCAACCATCTTTCACAAGAAAAACGCCCAGAAGAGCAAAATTACCAAACCATTGCGGGACATAGACATAGCAATATGTTATCGATTGTAGAGCGAACGATAGCAGGTAAAACAATTAAATTACATAAATGACACGGGTGTTTTTATATTTCACCATTTGCAGAACTAAAACATATATCTGCAGTAAAAAAGCCTTTCTTGGTTAAGTAACTTTATGACTTTAACTCTGTTCAGAAAAAATGCCCATGCGCCTTTTCCATACCACTTCCGCATTCTTTATAGTCCCAAATTTGTCAACTTTTGAAGGAATAATAGTACTAAATTTTAAATATAAAAAATTGCAAAGCAAATCCGGATCTGAAATATTTAGATTTTTAAAATGTCCAAAAGTTAATTTTACAGAAGAACAAAATATTGAGTTCCACAAAAAATACAAAAAGAATTTAACAAAATGATAAGAAAAAGAACAAGCGCATTTGATACCAATACCGTCGCTACCATTCGAATGGAGAATGAAGAATGAATTCAATATACTCTTAACGACACCCCTACCCAATGGTGTTTTTGTAAATAACGAATACTTGCTCAAACACAACATAATTGGGCTATCTAAACCACCTTATAATAACCCAGTGTGGGTAGTAGATAAAAAGGGAACGGATGAACAAGGAAACCGGAAGAAACGCATCGTTATAGATTTGAGGAAACTTATTATAAAACCATCAACCATAAATTCCCTATACCCAACATAATAGCCACTCTCTCAAATCTCAGAAAATCCAAGTATCTTATAACGCTTGACGAAAAATCAAGATTTCACCATATATTACTTGTAGAAAAGGATAGAGAAAAATGATCCCAGTATTCTCTTAAGGGCTATCGAGGACGTGTTTCTGGAATAAATTGGGGAGTCATGCATTTCTAAGTGGTGGATGTAATCATCTCCTTAGAAAACATGGAGGAAAATGCAGGTAAGCTTTCTGAATCAATATGAGGGTTTCAGAAAAATAATCTGACTTTTTCAAAAAATGAGTAGAGTATCTTGTATTCGTGGTCTCTCGAGGCGATATTACAACGAACCAACAAAATTGAGGCAATCAATAAGTTTGAACAGCTAACCACATTGTTTCATGTTAGATCATTTCTGGGTCTAGCAAGCAATTATAGGTGCTTTATTAAAGATTTTGCACCAGTAGCTAAGTCGCTAACGGAAATGTGTGTACAAGTTAATTCCAACGTTTATTAAACAATGAAAAAAATATAATTTTCGGGAAAGAAGTATTCCTTTATTTGATGTAATGTTGCAACTGAATAAACTTAAATTAATTCTAGCCCTAGTAACCTGTGGCTTAGCGGCAGCGGCGTTGGCAGCGGCGTCGCTGCTGATGTTGTTG